TTGGTTTCAGCAACACGCATATGAATACGCGAGCACATAGTATGACTCCTATTTGAACACTGGCTTTCTCTCTCTCTCTCTCTCTCTCTCTCTCGTGCGGGCGCGCTGTTTTTGTGCTCTTCGGGAAGACCTTGAGGTGAAATCAAGGTAGCCGGAAAACTGCTTTAGTTGTGGTGTGTGCGGGACTCTGCGCACTGTGGCCCGCGTCATCAGAGCGAAGAAGCAACAAAACAACTACGTGTGAAAAGGAACGAAAAAAGAGATATAAATTGGCTTGGTGGACGATAAAATGCCTCACGCTGAGCACCTTGGTATAGCCTTCGCAAACATTGTGTATGCGTTTTTGATGGGCATTGATTACAATGATTTCGATGAGTCCATACGACGGTTGCTTGAGGGGTGCTCCCGTGAGAAGAGGACGCTCATTACGTTCCTCATGAAAAAAAAGATGAAATGCTCAGCATCCGACACTGACTGTGACGCCTGTAACACGTGGGCAGGGAATGAGGTGAAGAAGTCGGAGGTTCCAGGAATACGGAGGGATGGGAACGCAAAGTCGTGGGGGCACCACATAGGGGATCCTTATCCCATGGGTGCCGATAGTCGGGCGGAGGCCTCAGACATTGACTTGCTTGAACGTGTCATTTCATCGAATGATGTTGTGACACAGTTAACAATAGTACGCAATGCCTTTTTGGATTGCCTAACAAAACTTCAGGAGGCCCCAGCGCGTGATTCATCTTTTTCGTCTGTCGCCACTAGTTCTTCGGCTACTGCTGTGACGCAGCAGGCATTGCAGCCCATCCCAGTACTGTGCTCAGGGAGCTTTCTCGATGGTGGGGTGAAGGCGATCGAGGAAGTCGTAGGCGGTCTTAGTCAAAAACTAAGACGATCCTGTCATCCGTCTGTCCTTGCCCGATCAGTGGTGGAATCGGATCGGTCTATAAACAACGATTTTTCAGAGCAGTGGGACCCTAATTGTATTCAGATGCAGTGTGCAGGGGTGGACCTTCTTTGGATGTTTAGTCTCTGCCTCGTGTTGGCGCCGCAGCAATCTGTGCAAATTCGCTTCCGTAGTCTCTTCCACTGCAGTCGATTCTTTTTGAGTGGCCGCTCGGCTGTGTCTTCTTGTGAGGGGAACAGCACTTTGCCTCGATTGTGTGACGTTCCACCGGTGTTCTACCTCTCACACGACCTTGTCACGAAGCTGGAGGCGCATTTTCACAAGTTGCTTCTCAACCAGGGGAGTGGTGTGTCACCGATGTGGTACATGTACCGCCTGCAGCTAGGCCGCGCATGCTACGGGCTCCTCAGCGCGGTGGACGAGCGCGCTGCCGACACCACGTGCCGCACAGTCGTACAAACGTGTGCGTCCGTGATGAGGGTTGCGCGGCTATCGTGCCGCAGCTGGGAGAACGTGGACTGGAGCGGCCTTATCGTGGAGGCCGCGCCATCGTCGTCGTCAGCCGCCGAGCGAGAGGCGCTTGGTCGCGACCTGGAGTGCATCTGGCGGAGGCGCCATAGGTGGTGGGTGGACATAACCGATGATGTCACGCACGCTACCGACGGTGCGTGGGCCAAGACACTTCCTATTATTTTAAGCGGTGCGCTGCCTTGTTTTTTATTTTCGCGCTTTGGCGGGACGGCGGCGCGCATCTCGAGCTTGTATAATTTGTCAAAGAGTAGTAGCACCACGAAGACCGAGAAGACACCAGGGGATAACTTTAGTGCATTGGTTTGCTATACTATGCATCTGTGCAATATTTTCAATCACCGCACCAGCAGAAATACTGTGTTGAGGGACTTACTGGGACTCGTGAAGAAGATGATTACTCACTCAAAGAAGGACAAAAGGGATAGAGAATTAGTGACCTTATTGCTTTCCGGGTGCTTTCTTCCGCAGGCAACTGTTTGTAGTAACCACTGTGTTGATGATTCGAAGCCAAACGATTCTACGCCCCCGAAGGAGGAAGCAGAAGCTTTGCTGCACGATGTTGATAGGTGGCGAAAACCGAAGCATGCCATTTTATATTCCTTGTCTACAGTTGCGCTGCTGGGGATGCTCTCGGTCGAGGCTTTTGCACAGAGACTCGTTACTTTCTTTGCAACGATGGAGTCATGGCTTCTGGCGGCGGAAAGCAATGAAAGGATTGCAATCCTCTACTCCATATTACACGCCTGTGGCTTGCTGCGCGATGTGAGCACTAGCTCCCCACAGGCGTTGGCGCATGACTGGAGCCGCTGCACTGATGGATTTTGCCACTTTGTGGAGAAGGCCGTGGTGAGGGGCATCGGCTGCGAGAGTTGGCGGGATACACGTCAGAAGTCTTCCTGTGTTGCTGCAGCATCAGACCTGTTATTGTTTTCCCTTCAGCAAGAATCACTTCACCTGAAGGCGTGTAATTGGCTGCTAAGGCTGTTGGATACAAAATCGAAGGTAAAGTCGTTGTCAAAAAGTGGCAAAGGTGTTCCTCTTAGCCGTGGCCATCTCATTGCGATGCGTACCATATCTGCTCTCTCTGAAGTTCAGTGCTTTCCAAATATCCGTATTTCTGCGCCCACACTGGGTGATGCGGCAGGCACCATTGTGGTGTGTTCGTTACCAGGTGAAAGCGGTACAGGTATGTGGACCTCACAAACTGCCTCTATCGTACCGAAGATGTCAATTCGGGAAAGAATTGTTGGGCTTTTATCTAGTCACGGGTCGTGTTATAACCCTACGGTAACCACAATTGAGGGATCTGCTGTTATGTGGAACGGTAATACGTTCAAAAAGGCTTATCATTTCGTGGAGTCTTCCAAGGAGATTAGGCTGGGCATCGATGAGGTGCGCAAAACGGCCTTTGAATGTTTGCGGCTGATAAACCTGGAGGCTCAAACTGAAGATACTGTGGAACTTTCAAATCATCTTGTGTACGTTTTCCTCGCTGCATGTTTCTGGGTTCCCGCACAGGAGGTCCTGGATAGCAGCCTTACGCTACCAATGCTGCTCGTAGGAGCCAAAACACCTCTGTACGACGCAGTACATCAAGTAGTGATGCCATTCTACTTGCTTGGTAGGGGCAATGAGAACATGTCGACCTGTGCACTAGCCCTGCATCGTTTGGCTGAATGCATCATTGTAATGTTGGGAAAAGATGATGATGAACGTGTGCAGCACCTCGCAGAGTATTTGACGGCGCATCTTCTCGTCCTGAGGGACAAGATGGAATGTCTCGTGAACAATGAGTTGCAGGCGGAAGGGAAGGAAGAGATTAACTATCCGTTGGGAACAAATCTGAAGGCGATGAGTGTTGGTGATAAAGAGACACACAAAAAGAAAGTATCGTTCCGCCGGGCGAGATGGGACTGGCTGCTGAATGCGATGAGCACGGATTCATTTTCTGAGAAAGAAATGCCATGTTCTTTATCGGTGAAGGAGGAATGGTGCGCTATCCCTGCTCTGCGCGGAACCGCTGTGATCGACACACTGGAGGGACTAGCAGTGGTGCTGCTTGGCCACAGCAGGCGGCAGGTGCGTCGAACAGCATTATTGCAGCTCGAGTTGCTCGCGTCGCTTCTTCGGTTACAACGTCGTCATTGTAGGTTTTCGTCAGAAACTTCAAGTTTTGTCGATGTTTCCGGAAGCCCTCAACAATCTCCACACGTAAAAGCTGCGTCACTGGGGGCGGCGAGCAGCTTCGCCGTGTACACTGAGGGGCTTTACTTCCCTCGCTTTGCGGTTGCTGAGATTTTTACAGATCTTGGGGGCCAGTTCGAGGAGATGTACATATCACAGAAAGAGCCGTATTTGCCACTGGTTCGCCTCTTTGACGGGCGTGTGTTTACCCCATTCTACTCTCCCGATGACTGTAGCGTGGTGAGTGGAGAGTGTCGGTGGTTGCGTGATAGCTGCATAGTAGGCTTCGAGGACATGCACGATGCATCTGGGGTATGCTCAGCAAAGTCTGCACATCAGCCGCCGTCGCTTTTCGCTACTCCTTTCGGTGCACGCTGCCTCGCGGGTGATGCGGATGTGCCGCACTTTGTCTTTGTTGCCACTGTTGCGCTGACGCTGGTGATGTATGGTTATCGTCCAGGTTCGGCAATCGTACGGGTAGTGTGTGCAATTGCTGGTGAGTTGGTTGTACGGGGTGAGAAGCATTGCCGAGAGCGAAGTTTCTCCATGTGGAGGTCGTGCTACGCGTTAAATTTCCTGCTGTTGTGTGTTGACAATGCGAAGAATTCACCAGAAGCTAACCGCCTTACACGTGGGAGTGAGCGTAACCGTCCCGGGCACCAGCAGGGCGGCAATTCCACATTTGTTGGGGGTCGTGATTCCACGAGTGGAGTTGAGTGGCAGATTGTGAATCGCTATGCGGAGTATAATAAGCTTATGAACAACATTACAGTGAATCTTCTTTTAGAAGAGATCAACACTGAGGCCGTTTCACCACACTTTTTGGACTTGCTGCAATATCTGCTTGTAGGGCCGCTTGAGTTTGTGTCTGCAGGAAATTCTACACTGGTGACGTTCGCCGGAATGATGGACAGTGATCATCCCATTGTGACAAAATTGCAGAATTTACTTGCCCAGTGTCATTCAAAGATGCGCCGAACGAAGCAGCACATTGCACACGCCAGCTTAGCCATTCTGCTCCCTATTCTGGTCATCATTGGCCGCCGCTACTTTGTGAAACCCCCTATTGCTCCAGGACGCATACAGGACACTGTGGCGACGAAACGCACACGAATGGAGGGAATCTTCCAAGGTATTATCGACTCCGTGTTGCTGGGCGATCCAATTTGCATGGAGCATCCGGACGAGCATGAGGCGGAGCGGCTACTCTCCTTCGAGACACTGGGACGCACGCTGAGTGAAGGACACGGCGTGGCGGCACGGTCGTGGCTGGCGCTCCCTTTCCTCCCCAGCGTTGTTGCCAAGAGTGAGACTGGATGTCATACCCTCCAAGGGACACTCTCAGAGATGACGCCGATTATTGTGCTTCGGGGCGTTTTTTGTGATTTGATTGGAATGGTGTACTCCAAGGACGCCAAGTACTTGGAAGCGCAACTGAAAAGGAAACTTTTGTCGAAGGTTTTGTATTCGTTAACCTATCAGGTGCACTGGTTCCTTCGGGGAAACACGAACTGCACAGGAAGCGGCTTTGAAGCTAGGTGGCCCAAATGTATGGTTACAGTACTGGCGAAGGCTATTCTTGCTTTGCAAACTGTGGTGTCGTCGGTTGAGCTACTTGCGTGTAGCCGACAGCATTTGGAACACACTAACATCATTGGTGTTTTTTCCAAAAAATTCTTTCAATGGCTGCAACGAGAGTTGTCGACAGACTGTAATGACCTGGAGAAAAGTTCACCGAGTGTATTTGGTCTTGCGGTCACGCTTCTTGTGGCCGACTCTGCGTCGCGGGAGTCAGTGCGCCGTGTGTTGCGTGAGTTGCCAATAGGCAGCCCTGTACACCGCACTTTTTTTGCAGTGATTGTGACTGCAATGTCTGTGAAGTGGGCTGGTCAGAGGGAGCCTTTACTGGCACTCCGGCAGTCCTCCAGGGCGGAAACGTCTCAAGTACGTTCTGAAGTAAGCAGTGATACGTTTGCAGCCTCTGTTTTATCTACTACGAAGGCGGACAACGTTGTGGTTGAGATTTCTAAGAGTGGGACCCTCATTTTCTACGCGCTGGCCTACTTGTACGAGGACGCTACTGTGGGCTACGTCTTTGACGCTGCCGTCAGATCTAAGGCACTGGGCCTGCTGTTTCGGTTGTGCGGCGAGTCTCCATCTGAGTCTGGGGCATGTGCAGTGGATGACTGGCTGTTTTTGCTGCTGAAGGCTTACAGGAGTGGGATCGGCGAAGCAGAGTGTGCCAATGGCTTTCTTCAGTCTCTCTTTGCGATGGCGACTGGTGATGTGCTCTCGGCGGAGCGCAAGGCTAATTCTCCTGCGCAACTTCAGCGCATCGCTTTAAAACTTCTCACACTTCTGTTGAAGCGAATAGAGGCAACGGATTCTAATCTGCGCACTGTGCTTCAAGTTACGCAAGCGTGCAGGAACTCAAGCTCCGAGCATGACCTTGCCGAATTGTGGGGTGGCTGGATAGCGTACGAAGGTCGTGAAAGAGAACGGTTCGTCTCTCTGTTGGTGAGCTCATCTATAGATTTGGCGGACAAACGTATAGTGACGTACTATATAGACAGCTACATCAATCATGAATCAATGTTACAAGGAACTCGACGCAATTGCAGATTGAGTGGGCGCTTACGTGGTGCCTACTACAGTTTTCTTATTTTCTCACTGTACCAGATGAAACTCCTGCGTTATAACATGGCGAGGGGCACAGCCAACAATAACAATGATACCAGCAACCACAATAATATGAAGGCGGAACGGATGTCAGACCCTTTTTTTGATTCAATGCGTGATGAGGGCCCCCGACATAGCTCGACGTTGTGTCTCTCGCGGAGCTTTAGCCATCCTGAATCACAAGTGAACAAAGGCATAAACCAGAATGGTGCGGCGAAGCGAAAAATGTTGTGGGTCATGGAGGAAAACATATGGCGTGTTCCGGTGAGATTGACACGAGAAAACTTGAAGGAGAATTCTGATATTCACCAGACACGGGAGAAGCAGGTGGAGCGATGCGGTAGCAGCTTCTCAAGTGAAGCTCGTGACGACCAGGCGACGTTGCGGGAGGTGGGTTTTGTGAAGCCGCTCGTGAGTGTCCTTTTCTTTGCATCATGGGCAATGGATCGGCTTCGGCAGCGTGGTTGGAATTTGTGGAGTGAGCTGCACAAGGATCTGGACACTATCACAGGTTACATGGTGAAGGAGTCGTCAAGTGAGGTGAAGCTTGCCCCTCCTGAGCTTGATTTCGCGTCTGATACAAGTGTCAGTGAGACAATGGAGAGTGATGAAGGTTCAGAAGAGGAGCACAGCGCATCGCAACAGGAGCAGACAGAGAGCGACTGCCCGAGTTGCTCTTCACCGTGCCAGCGTGCTTCCACCACCAACAAGACGGCAGCAGCGGCGGATGCGGAGCTGCACTCGGAGGCAGGCAGTGGCGACACTGTCATTGTACATGCACATATTCCTAAGCTAAGCTTTCGGGAGGCGATTGCGTCTCATACGAAACAAGCAGAGAAGCAAAATAAGAGGGGGAAATCTAAACACTTGACCAATACAAATGTTCCATTTAGTAAGCTACACCGAGCCTTTCTTGTGTTGTTTCATCATTCGGCGTGTATGTTGCTTGTGCACATGGGTTGTGGTGAAATGCGTTGTGGGGAGCAGCGGGGGGAGCTCTTGTCGCGTTTTCACGTTATTGAATCGACATTTGAAGCGCTTGGCAGTTTACTGAAGGGGAATGCTTCGGAAGGAAGCTACCGCGCCCCTTCTTCACTGAGGCACTGGCTGAAGCTAACTTTTACCCGGTTAGATCACCATGAGAAGGTGAAGCCGCGCGGGGGTGATGTTGGTGGTGGTAGTGGTGGTAGTGGGTACTGTGATGGATCTTGTACTGCTGCGCTCGTCATGGAGCCGTCATTGGTGCTGGGGAACCCGGAACTAGACGGACGTGTTAACGACTCAGCTTCATCTAGCGCTGACGTTGTTCTCACAGAGCTTTTTCTGAGCATTGCCGGACACGGTCGCAACATGAAGGGACGTCATTATATGCTTCGGTGGCTTCATGAGTCATTCACGTGGATGCAACAGTCTAGTGCTGGGAAAGGGGTGGCAAAAACACGGCTGCACGTCTTGTACTCGCACATCTCGCTACTTTCGCTGAAGGTCGCTCGGAGTATTTCCGCCTGTCTTTCCTTTACGACCGGTGTCCTAGTGGTTGGTTGTGATTGGCGACTGATGTGGATGGAAAAGACAGCAATGCAATTGGCAGAAGCGAATGCCCTTCGACAATTGCTCACGACTCTCTTAGATCAAACAAAGGCACTCCATTGGGATGTTTCCCCCAACACGGGTTTGCCATTTATGGGCGCTCACCATTATGTATTCTGCAGCTCTATCCTGACTTCGCTGGGGTGCTTGCTGCGCGACATTATTATACACGAAACGTACTACTGTACAAGCATTCATATAAGGGAAATGGGGGAGAAGAAACCGGAGGCATTGGGGCTAGCCATTCCCTTCAGTGACAACAGCGTGTTCCCAGCACGTCATCTTTTGTCATGTTTCTGGGCCGGCTTTGCGTTACTACTAACACCGAACACATGGCAAGCTGCGTGCAACATGTTGGCTGTGTTTCACCGCTACGGTTGTGCCAGATTTCTAGGTAGTATCACCGTGCCTGTTTTGTCGCCGCCCAAATTGCTTTGCTTTGATGTGGCTCCCGACTGTGCGGCCGTGCAGCTTGTCCTTTTGCAACAAGGCAGATCAGCACAAGTTCGACAGAAGGTAGATTCCATGCTGCAATGCGACTGTGGTTGGCGTATGCACGATACGGCAGCCGATGCGGTGCTGAATTACCTTCACGAATATGCAAACGAAAAGGACGAGGGTGCATTGCTCCTTGCTTTCACAGAGTTCGTTATATTGTGTGACTGGGGATCCCTTGACTTGGAATTGCACGCCCCGAAGTTTGCCGCATTTACCAGAAATGAAGATGTGCAGGGCAGACCCAACACAACGCCGACCGTGCAGAGAGATGGCATCTCGCCGAACGCCTTCCCATGCCACTCCTTCTCGCAGTGCCTTCTCGCATTAGCTGAATCTTGGAAACGTTGCGTTTTGGAGCTACCGGATGAGTGCCAAGGGATGTCGCGTAGCCTTTCTTCTCGCATAAGCTTTTTGCTTGAGGAGCTTCTTAAAATGTCAGTCAAGGCCTTTAGCGTCCCTTCTGTTGATGTGCTTCTGCATCGTGTGGCGGCAACGAAGTCCGGCCACGGGGGATCTCTGGAGGCGACGCTGTCCCAATCGAAAAGCCACAATACGGATCTTTGCTCCCTCCACAGCTGCGCAAACAATTCAAGGGAACGACACTACTTGTTTGAAGAAAGTGTCTTGTCATTTCAGCGCCTTTTTGAGTCGCTGGTGATGGTTCCACTCATGTCATTGTTCCAATCGTCCCAGACCCCACTGTCACTGTGGAGTAAAATCCTCGCCTTTGTGTCAGCACTTCTCTCGTACTATGAGCCGAAGTACGGCTTTGTGGTAGACTTGCTGCGGAAATTTTTGCCAGATGTAGAGCGCGGACTATGTGTTGGTACTTTGTATGGCTCCTTAACGGATGAGACACCCTTCTTCGACCGACTTGTTGTGCCTGTCCTTGCAGATGAAGTGGCAATGAAGGTTATGAACTTGAAAGCAGTCCTCTTAAGAAAGCCGACCTCAGTTCTATCCTACGAGTCAATGAAGTGGATACCAATGTTGACGTCCCTTCTTGACAATGCCACGGTGGTGCACGCACTCATTGATTTCCTTGCGAAGGATTCGTTTTCAATACCTCTGATGACCTTTGACATGCAAACCGCGGGGGGATCATCTCTGGAGATGTCTGGATCGTCTAAGCCGATTTTCACAAGAGAGAAACGAATGAAATCGGGATCTTTTAACGACCGGACATCTCATGAGAGCCGCTCAGACGAGGATGCTGACAAAAAATTCTGCGCCGTGGGTGCTTCCCACACAACGGCGCATTGTTCTGTTGAGTTGAATTCATCTAACCTGTCGATGAAACAAACTGCGTGCGCCATTTCGAAGCCGAAGTCTCATTACTTTGGTAATTACGTTTATGAAGTTTTGTCTTCTGCGTATGGCGCTCCCCCTATTATGGGCCAGCTGCCCCTAGAGTGCTACCGTCCTTCAATGAATGCGGATCTCTCTGCTGGCGTTGCTCCTCCTGGCACTTCTGAAGAAGATGGTGGCAATGAGCATCCGGGATCCCTTGCAAAACGGAGCAAAAGTCGCCATGAACAAAATTGCATTTACCTCTGGGACGTCTCTAGCCTCTCTGCGAGTGACAGCACCAGTGACACGGACTCTTTGAGCACCCTGGCTGACGAAAGGTCCTCCAATAATGACGACGACTCTTTGGCCTCTTCTTCCTGATGCTCGGCACGGCCTCACTCTTTCTAAAGGCCCAACGCGTTGCCTATATTGTTACACGGTATACTTCTTTTTTGAGGGACTCTTGGCGGGGCTTGATTGTCTCTGCCATTCCGCCCAAAAGTCACTCCTCAATACCCATTTAGCCTCTGATATTTTATGGAAGACTCACAGGTCTTCTGCTTTCTGT